CACGGCAGATGCAACTGCACTTACCTAACATTGCTTCCAGTTCCTCCATCATGTAATTACTTTTCTAGAAATTAAATGTACATTTATACTCATTAATGGTAAGAAAATAAATCTGTAGGAAATAAATTCCGTATTCTCATATTTCATATGGACACTTTGCCTTTTTTAATCCAAACCCAAGTTTTCAAGTTTATTGATTTCTCTAATGCCCTAGGGATTTATTTTTCATGGAAAAGAATCATCTATGCCTGCAAAGCCCAGCTTTCACTTGAGACTGATGTAATTAACAATCTAAGATATCAGCTGATAGAAGAAAATAAAATTGCCCAGGAACAAGTAGATATCAGACTCTGCCTCCAGTGTTCAGCTTGTCTGGTGAAGGTTTACAGCAAGAATAATTTACTGTCTTACAGGAGCTGGTATTAAATTAAACCACTATTTTTATGCAAACATACCTTGGCAGTGACTATTTTATTAGGTTTCTGCTTTATTGGAATCATCATTTTGTTAATAAAAGAGGTTCAAAGCCATCATTTAAAAATAGTTTAGCTGTGTGGCAAGATCCAAGCTGGTCTGACAGATCAACATGAATCATGCATCTCAGGTAATAGAGCTTTACCTGTTTCTCTAAGTTATCAATTTTCTTGACAATTACAACATTTGGCTTTATTAACATTGAATCTAGGTCTTATTTTAACTTTATCCTGCACTACAGTATTAAGAGAAACTGCAGAAAGACTCACAAGGTGCAAAGTTACACTTATTAAGAAACTAAGACTGTGATTGATGCATGCTGGCTATTTTCCAGAGCTCTAGTCGGGTACGACAAGAGTAACGTGCATCAGAGTGGCATATGTGCTACTGCAACACAGTCAGGAAATGCTGCAAAAACCGAATCATAGTATTTCTACATGAAGAAATTCAGAACAAAAAAAAAAAAAAAAAAGGAATAAGTAACAGAAGTAAAAAAATTTAGCAATCAATCAAGAAGCACCAATCCATAGTCAACCAGAAAGTACATCACATGAATTGAACCGTAACTCTGTTCAGAAGAATAACACTTTAAAATACACAGAACTGTAACGCTGGTGCGATTCATTTCAATGTTATTAACAGATTCAAGAACAATTGTATAGTCCAATTTTTGTGTTTCAAACCTCTTATGCCACTTACTTTCTCGAACAGCATGGAATACATTCACATATTAACACAGTGCCAATGGAAGGGAGAACAATCATAGAAACACCACACTTCCCACAGGACAGGCACAGACAGTCCATAAATGACTTCTCGTCTATCACTGCTGCCCTCCAAGACTTCAGAAAGGGTCCATGAAACAACCTGACATTGCTACTAGAAAATTAAACAAGAAAATAAAAACGAGATAAATTACCAGGATCCATCTGCAGAGATGCCTGTTCCATTTGCAAAGTAAACAAGCTCTTCCTTAAAACATATGTAAACACAGCACAGCCTAATTGTTTTGGTATACAAATATAACCAAATCATTAACCTGTTTAAAAATACAAGAACCAGTGGCACAAAGTTTATATGAATGTATTTGGAGCTATTTCCTCCATAGACCCAGAAGTATACAAATGCGTATTATACCCAGGAAAGGTACCAAAGTACTTTTTAGAATTGTTGCAAACGGGAAATAAAGCACTTCCAGCCTCTCCATCCTTTCCTGCCTCCGTTCACCCTGTTTCCTGCTCGCCCTCACCCTTGGTGGGTCAGTTGTGTTGACAGCTACCTGAACTGCTGCTTTCTACGCTGTGTAATTGGCTGTCCTTGTATCTGAAGCTATGGAACTAGTGGGAAGTTAACGTTTGTGCAGAGAAACTAGGGAATCCAAACCTGTATTTTACACAAATACCTTGAAGGTGCAAAGCCTGAGATGCCCTGTTCAAGAGTTTTCAAACAGAAAGTATTCACCACGTGTTTTCCCACTCACCTTAGACAAAGAGGTACTAATACAATAAGCAGTTACACCAGAGGATGCAGAAGAGGAGTACCTAAGAACAGCTGAGCAGTTAGCATAGCTTCAAACCCTTAGTAAGCAGAGTAGTCTTCTCTTTGATTTGGAGCAGAATCATCTGTAACTGGATATACATGTACATATAAATTACAAGCCAAAGGATGCAAGACCATCACCCTGAAGTTGTGGTAATCTAAATATATGCAAATATGCACATCTGTGTTCAAAAAAAAAAGTGACATATACAGCAGAAGTTAATCAACTAAGACTTCAATTCATTACTTTATTTTTTTTTTACATTAAAAAAATTACAACGTAACAAGGGTTTGAAAAGCTGAGTAAACCTGATTTCACACACGCACACACTTGCTAAGTCACAGGGTTCGACCGCTTGAAGTGATATTTTCTGATTTTCATCAGGATATTTTATTAAACAATATACACATTAAGAGCCTCATGACAAAGCCAGACACATTTTTTTCCCCAATCTTTAAGATGTGCAACTGAATATGCAAAGATTCTTGTGGAACTTCCAGCTTTCCCCTCAGTTACATGAGACGTAGTTTTGTTCATTTGACTGCAATTTCATTGGATGTGTTCACCTAGAAATTGTCCGGTGTTACACATCATCTCCCCCAAGCAAAGTGAACATATGACATAGTATTGCACAGTTTTGTTCATAGGGCCATAGATAATAAATGGATCCCTTAGTAACTTCACCCACCCAATGGTATAAAACTTGATGAAGCTGGAATCAAGATGCCACAAACAATTACAAAGAAATGGAGGAGCAGGTCACTGAAAAAAGAAACTATAGCTTCTGTAGTACGTAAACTTTATAATGCAAGATTCTTCAGCACGTTGAACTGCTTGAAGTGGGACAGATCATAAGTGCTACTGGCAAAGCGAAAGCAAGAACAGAACAATTTTAAGGCAAGTCCCAGAACAGGGAGCTATTTACTTTCTAGGCACGATTTCAAGCTATGCATCAAGGCTCCTGCGTTATCCTTTATATTGTTGGTAATTTATAGAACAGATTAACAATACAAAAAATAGTCTAAATATATTTTCTTAAGAACCCACTTTTAGCTGAATTTCATTACTTGCAGCTTGTATTTCATTACTTGCAGATCTATAAACATTTCTTAGCACTACTGTTGTTTGTCAGGCCCACATAAAGCAGTTCTAGATCTATATTGCTCTCATTTCTTGAAAGTAGTTTTGGTTGGAAAATTGTTAAATTCAAGAGAATTCCTTCCATAGCAGATATTTCTACAGTTATGATCTGTTGTACTTGAGAAAAAGGCAACCTCCCTCATTCCTCTGATGTCTTTGTTCAAGGGATCATTAAGTTAACAGCTTTTCTTCTATGAAAAGTCTGTACAGTAAAAAAGGGGCAGAGCAAGACCTCACAAAGACAACTGTTTTCAGTCAATAAACTCCAATCTGCAGTACATTCATTGTAATCTCGCACAGGAGGATACAGTCACTGGTCCCACTTACCCCTGCACAGAGGACTAGATACAATCCTCAAACACCTACACTTCAGTTCCTCTAGAATCAATGCATTAAGAATTGGAGATGCATGCCTGAGGGCAGAAACTGCCCCACAGCCATTAGTTAAAAATGTTGTTTACTGAAGATTTAGAACTTACCTAAATGCCATATGACATTATGGCCAAACACAAGACATGCTTTTGTGAGCCTGGGAAGACATTTGGCAGGGGTGTAACAGTGCCTCTGATGTGTTATGCTGTTGTGTGCACCAGTCCTTTGAATCACTTGCATATGAGGAATGTGTGCCTGAAGTGGGACACGAGTACAGCTCTGCTTATCAGGACAAGCTGAAACATAAATTAAAACTGAACAAACCACTATTCCCTGAAAACTGGATTTAGAAGGCTAGGTCTCATTTGAGATCAACTTTCACCATAATACTCCTCCTTATGATTGACAACTGCACCTAAGTATATACTTTTTATAAAAACACACAGGTAATTCCCCAAACATTTATCAAATAAAAAGGGTTTAACAAAAATGGATAATTAATCTCATAAAATAAATTACAGTAGCATGACATTTGGCTTCCTTAGTGTGACCGCGTGCTTTTCCTTTGTTATCTTGCTGTTAAGACCATTACAGATCCAGTTCGCGTCTCTGAAAGTTAATGAGATGTCTGTGACGATAAATGTATAAAACTCTGCTTGCTACAAGCAAATGTCTGATATCAGTTTCACCTGGTCACAGATTATATGTAGACAGCCTTCTCTGGCCCCAAATAAATAATTATATAGTATTCTTGCAAGTTCCAGCATAATTAGACTCAAACAGAAAACTCAGGTCCTCCTTTCTTTGCTCTCAGTAGAAGTCGCCTGATTCGAAATCCTGCAAAAGGATTGATCCACAGGAGTGAAGGCTGACCCCCAAAAACAGATTTCATTCCTTCCCAACGTAGTCTCCGCTCCCATGTTGGCTTTTCACTCTTCAGTCTTTCAATCTCCTGTACGTAAACAGACATGCAGTGATGCACTGTTAAGTCCAAAGTTTAGTGAAGTCTAATAGCAGTTATCAAAACTGATGACTATTTTGCATTCTTACAATGTATAGCTAGTGAGCTGATTAGTTTCTTACTGTTATTTATTTAGTAAGGAAGAAATAAGAATGGTTGATTTAGCCCTGTGGGTACAGGGCACAAGACTTAGAACATAAAATGCGTACAAGAAGGTCGATCTACCTCTTCCCCCCTCAAACTAAAAGACAAAATGACCAGAAAAGCTTATGTTACAGTAGAGGATCTGCACACAACATACCTACACTAGAAGCTGTTTACTCAGTTAATAACCAGACAATAAGGCTTCCAAGAAGGCTCTTGTACTGCAATTACTGAAGCTAGGCTTACTCTCCCAAATGCATTATTCTGATGATAATTTTTGTACTTCCCACTAATAAAGGCTGGATATTTACCAATTGTTTTCCGCAGTTACTCTTCAGTACAGAACTATACTTTCAAACAGCCTCATATGAGAAAATTCTGAACAGCAACAAGATTCAAATTCCTTGTTTCCAGTCAATTATCCATCACAATACATCCTCTCAAAGCTTAACATTGCATATTTAAGGGCGAGTCAAACATCCAAACTACAGTTATAGTCTAATAAAGTGGATCAAAGTAGAGGAAAGTGTGAAGGGTTGATACAAGATAGCTAGGTTAAGTGTAAACTTGAGAAAAGCAGACATTTCTGACATATCAGGAGTTTGTGATAGTTGAGAAGCACAGGTCCAAATTGAAGCCAGAAGCTGTGCAATATTTGTAATTTAAAACCTAACTGTAAAATTTACATCAGAAAAGCAAATAATGCAAGAACTTCTGTTAGAAAGTAAACCCCAATAAAGTATTTCAATCCTTACAACTGTAGAAAAGAAAAATTATGAGCTATTTCAGATTTGGAGTTTTCTCCAAAGTAAGATCCTCCCCTCACGCAAATGAAACAACATCTAATCACACCTTCCTAGAATAATTCTTATAGCATACAAAAGTAGAGGTCTTTACCGTTTCATCATTGCATATTGAGTGGATTTGGGTGCCAAACATGACTGCAGTGAAAGTGAGAAACAGAAAACCCTCAAGGCACAAGAAGATCATCAGGATCACAGTTACAGGTGGGGAGAAGTCACTGCATTCTGTGAAAACAACATATGTAGTTATAAAAAAAAAATAATTAAAAATCTATAGAGCACGCTCATACTGAGACACCTCCTCTTTGGCATACAGCAATAAACGCTAAATATCTGACACTCAAAAGAACATTTCACAAACTTTCTAGCAGTGCAGCAGCTTTATTTGCTGCCCAAGGAAATAAAAGTGTTAAGGAAGTAACACTTTTGACACATGGTACTGCATTACTGCAATCCCGCCTCAATATTTCAAGGATATCAAATAACTGTTTGCACATGAGATGATGTAAATACTCAGAACTGCACATATATAAAGATGAGAGCAGCTGGAAGTTTCATGCATGACAAACACAGTAAAAACTATCACCACTGTCAGCTCTGACTTGCCAGTTAATCCAGATGTTCCATTTTGCTGCGATTGCTTTATTATTTTTTAATTCACCACACAAAGCAATCAGTCCTGACTTACACTTATATTCACATCTCTGCAGATCCTCTGATCAATTGATTAACTCAATTATAGTTGAACAAAGGAGAAGTGGGATAGTATACAGGAAGCAGAATGTTTAAAGTAAAAAAAAGGACTAAGATTCCATCCATTTAATGGAATATTCAGCAAAAAACCCCCAACAAACAGTCACATAGATTCCCGTTAGTTAGGTACCAGGAAGAACATATTTGATCAGCCACCTTCTGTCAAAAGCACAAGACCAGAATGAGCTCTGGCACACAGGAACATTATGAAATGCAAGTCAGAGCCCTAAAAAAGTAACTGGGACAGTTTAGGAAATTTGTTTTCTACAGGAGCCCCACAGTTGGCTCCAGTAACAGAACGAGGGAGAAATTTGTTTAAGTTTCAGCTGTCGTTCACAGAACTGTGGCGGCACACACAAAGCCCAGCTGGCAGCTTCAGGTAATACAGTGCTGAGGTGGTTGAGGACCAGCTATTTGTTTCCTTCCCATCACAGACATGGTAAATTTTTACTATGTGGAAAGGGAGTGAGAATTGCCTTGACAGCCACGGCTCTTACAGTGAATGAATAAAGGGGGGAAAAAAGGGGGGTGGGGACAGAGAGAAAGAGACAGGGGTAAACAGGTATGAAACACTTTGAAACATTTTCAGGACCTCACTTTAAAATTATCAAAGTCCTGTCATTCAAGACTGAAATAGGTAGAAATCTATGACTTTCCCTTCATATCTGCTAGATTATGACAGTGAAAGTTTTTGCTTACCAGTCCACTGCCCTCGGACACAGGAGAAAAACTGAAACCCACACAGTATGAGCGCATGAGCTGAAATTAGGGCTATATACATCTGGAAAGAAGAGAGAGTGCTTACTTTTGACTGCTGCCAGGTAGTAAACCAGACATTCCTTTTCAGCAAGCCTTCACCACTGCACAGCGAATATACTTTCCTATTTCAATATTTAATTCAATGCAATGAGGTAAAACCAAATTCTAATTAAGCTTGAATCTAAAAACATGGGCAACAATGAAAGTTTAAGGAATAGCTCCCTAAATCACAGTATCATTTCACTAATTGTTACTACGTAAAACACAGCAAAATTAAGGTAGTTTAAACTAAGAGCACTTTACAAGATTAAGATGAGCATGGGTAGAAATATCTTCCTGCTTGGAGAATATCTTGTTTAGAAGGAGAAAAAAAAAAAAAACAAACCACCACCACAAAACTTGTGCCCCTTAAGCCAGTATTGACTACTAAGCACAACCAAAATTGTTATAATCAAGGTAGATTCATACTGAGATCAAGCTGCTGTTGATTTTCACTTACCGTAAACAGAACAAAAAATCTCTGATTTTTCTCCCCCACACAATTATTCACCCATGGGCAGTGGTGATCCATCTTTCGAATACATCGTTTGCAAATACTGAAGGAAAAGAAAAGACTTCTGTTGAGAAACAATACTTTGCATTTTCATGTAGAAACAAGGGTATCCAGTGGTCAGAAGATGATGTGCTGCAATCTTTCTTGACAAACTGCAAACAATGACCTTATTTGCTTTAAAGAAACTATTTGCTCACTTACAACTCAGCTTTTGGTTGTTACAAAACTGACTGTGTACATAAGATATTCTTCACATAAGAAAAACATTATTAATATGAGAATCATTGCATATCCAAACACACGATTAAGTGAATCCAGTAACTTGTTTCAGACACTTGTGGCAATGAAGGAGCAAAGCTTCAGTTCTTTCTAGATTCAGTATTTAAAAAACCCCTTCCCTTCTGGAGAAGCTTTTTTAGACAAAATAATTATTTCAAGTTTACAGACTTTCAAGTTGCAAATTTAGTTTGTGAATCAGAAAAAGAAAAAAGGAAATTCACATCTTCAAGAGAGAAATTGTCACTTTTGAGATTTCGACTGGCCGTACAATTCTAAACATATGCAATCAAAATCTCAACTAAACAACAGCTGACAATGCCACACCTCACCTCTTCAACATAAACCAAAAACACTGAAACTATAAGCAGCACACATTCTTTGCCTCTTTGTTAATGAACACTCAAACACTACTGTTCTTTGCTAGTTCTGCAAGTAATTGCTTAGTTTCTGCCCAGTTTTGAGTCAAGGTTATTTCCAGAAAGAAAAGTCAAATACTTAATAACTCCATTTTACATCTGCTAGGCCATACAGCACCAGCAGACTCATTTCTCTTACATTCAGGGCCATCTGCAGCCAAGCATGAACAGTTATACAAGAGAAACAGAACAGTTGCAACATGTGTTGAGAAGCTCTTCCATAAATCAATAACTTAAGTAATGCTGGTATTTAATTTTCCTAGCTTTGTACTTAAGATAGCCACACATTCAAAGTGTTCCAGATTTTCCTGCAGAACATCCAAAATATTAGCATTTTCATTTCAGCAGCGATAAAGCCAAATAAACCTAAAAAATGCAGGCAATATTAGTCAAAACCCTTCATTTTTAATGCATGCTTATTTATGTATGGTATCTATGACTGCTGCAGTGACAAGCCATGAAGCAAAGCTAGATGACTGTCACTAGAGTGAAGAAAGAGAGGTGCATGTGTGGGAAACAAATGCTACAAGGCATAAAATAACTTTTAAGTCATTGCATATGCATGATTATAAGGTAATTCAGCAAAAGGCAGTACATACTCCTGTGCAGGTTATATGAAAGAATCCCAAACCTGTCACTGCTGCTCTGAAACTCCCTTTGCCCTCAGCTATCATAACGCAGCCCCCCTACATTCCCACTGCCTCTTGTTTATAGACATTAAAGAAGATTCATCCTCTGATGCAAATTACTTTTTAAATAGAGTCAGTTACACATGAAAATCCCAATACCATAACTAAACACTGCAACGATTCTCTAGTGCAGAAGAAACAGGTATCACTCAAGAGAAGTCATTCAGAAGGCTCTCCAAAAGATTTTCATTTCACAGCCTGCTGCCTCTAAGTTCAGCCTCTCATTAATTTCCCGAGCTCTGTGGGAAGGTGAGCTAACTCCAGTCACCATAACCATGCAAGTCTCCTAATGTAACACAGAATATATATTGTCACTCTAAAAAGACTATTAATGTGAAGTACTGAGTAAAATCATATCCAGACTCAATCAAGCCAAACACTGGAGGATGTGAGGTGGGCAGGACACACTTTTGCTCATTCAGTATTTCTCACAAGCCCACACAGAGCTCTCCAAGACATCAGATGTCTGGAACCTTGCCTTCATTTCTAATCTCACACCAAGATTCAACGAATACTTCCAGCCAACAAACTCACAGCAATGCTGAAAACAGCAGTCCTGCCTTCTTCCCACCCCCCGTTACTTGTATTCTATTCCTTCCCCCGCTCAAGCACAGACGTTTATGTGACAAGATTTTGGGAAAGTCACTCCATTAGCTGCAACCTGGGTCACAGATTGGTGAGGGTTGGAAGGGACCTCTAGAGATCATCTAGTCCACCCCCCCTGCTAGAGCAGGATCACTTAGAGCAGGTTGCATAGGATGGCAGCCAGGCAAGTTTTGAGTATCTCCAGAGAAGGAGACTCCACAACCTCTCTGGGCAGCCTGTTCCAGTGCTCTGTCATCCTCAAAGTGACGAAGTTTTTCCTCATATGCAGATGGAACTTCCTGTGTTCCAGGGTCATTTCACTATAAATGAACACTCACGCCTGCACAAGAAGAAGGAGCGATATGGTAGTGAGAACAAGCAGCTGTGGACAAAGAAAGGTCTTCTCCAGCTTGGCACTGCTGCTGAATGCACTCAGGCAACTGCAGGTGCCATTAGAGTGTTGAATGCCAAAGATAACATTCAGAAAGACACAGCTAATGGCTTAAGAGAAATTGGTGTGGATTCACACCTGACTAATGCATTCATCTCAGTGACTTGATTCTGAATAACAGTTCTCACACACAAACGCAGGCACTCAGAACAGGCTCGAAATAATGATAGCTGTGCTCCTTCAGTGAAAATGAAATAGCATTCACACAGGACAAGCCTCTTCCTTATGCTGAAAATGTTAACTGCTTAGTAAAATCTCAGTTTAATGTATTTCACTGAAGCTAGACATTTAGCTGTAAATAAAGGTTTCTTGTTCTTTTTCCCATCACTAATGCGTATTATGAAACTATTTTTCTTCCTCAAAAGAACTTCTGCTGCAGTGTTGCACAACAATTTTCATAACTACATCATAAGAGCCTCTTCTGTTAATAATTTACTACTAAAAACATGCACTGTGGCTTTGAGCATAACTATTTCCCAACAGGAACCAACTTCAATTTCCATTTTCAAGTGTCTTCTATCAGCAAATTGCCACTTCGACTACTTGGGACTAGACCATCCTTTTAATGTCCTTGGAATGGGTTTGTAAGCCAATAAAATGTTGGCAGTATAATCAAACAAACCTTTTTTCTATTCGGTACACTTCTGCAGTGCTAATTCTATGGCAAAGAATCAGACTCTAGTCGCTGGTCTATGCAGTATGTATTCAACATCTGAAAAATTACCGAAAAATCCTTTGTTTTACTTAGGAAAAGTTAACAGCAACTACTAGTAGCATGTATGGCATGAGTAGCAGAAACAAAGGCAATTAAACCAGATCTTAAATTTAACTGCTGAGAAAAACATGACAGCAGGCTAACAAAAGGACAGCACATAGACTTTCAGGCTCTGGCTTTCTCTTTCAGATGTTCTGTGAAGCCAGTTATGCACTGTGCCAGCGTTAAAATGCATCCTTTGTCCTTATGTGGAACATCTTGCAGTGTATTTTACCAAGGCATAGAAAAGTAAAACAATTCACAAGACATGCAAAGCTAGGTCCTTGAACCAGTGATTAGTGAAAACAAACCCTCTGAAAGCATCACAGATTTCCTTCGCTGTAGACACAGCACATTCTTGCTCTAACAATAAATACCACTCAAATGCTTGCTATAAACAACGTATTCAAAGTCCCTCCTTAGCTTATTTTTATTCTTCTTCCACAAAGAAACAATGACTTTTCAACCAATACCACCTTATCTGGGATCACAGGCTACTGGACCAGCCAAGGTAACACAGTGTCTGCTGAGGATGATGGCCCAGATGTACCCAACAGACTCCACAGGGCACGGAGCTGTAGCGACTCCAGGCTCTCCAATACTCCAGTTTCTTTACTCATATGTAGAGTTCAACATAAAATGTCTTCATTTAGGGCTATTTCCAAATTAGTAAATCCAATCAGGACTGAAGGTGTGGGAAACACTTTACAAAGATACCTGCAAAGTCCCTGTAGGAGCCAGGCTAAATCTGAGATGAGAAAATTAGCAAGACCCAACCTACACACAGCAGAGCCTCTCGGGTGTCCCTTTACTGCATCCCATGAACACAATGCCAGGATGTCTGAACAGACGGCACAAAGCTGTTTTGGATCCCCAGGGATTAACAGCTTAGATTCTGCCACAGGAAAGCAGCTGCACTGCTTCCACCCCCAGGCGCACCAAGCAATCGGCATAGTTGGGTTCATCTAACGCTCTACCACAGCTAATAACACCAGCCAGAACCAAACTCGTTGCACATAAAGGCAGGCCTGGTATGTGCATCCATGCAAAAGCTAACCTACAACACAGATAAACTAACTGAAGATAATTCTATACTTGACTATTTATACATGAAACTTTTCCCTTCACACTCCAGATACAAAAACCCACTCACATCTGAGAGAACAAGATTTCAGTGCCAAGGCTGAGTATTTATAATGGAAATAGCTTCTCAGCCATAACTGTCACACAGATAAGTGACATACACTGAGACATTTATTTTAGAAACCACAAATTTACAGAAAAATTTGAGAGTCCTGACAAGACTTCACTCTGTTCTTTTGAAGGGCACTAACTTAGAGATTTAAATTTAATACACCACACAATTCAATACAAGTCACTCCTCACGCCTAGAGAGCGCCATGAGAAACATTTACATATTTATGTAAGTCTTAATTATGCAGGCATATCTATTTTCAACTCTCACACAATAAACATTACAAATGCAGATCCACAGTGCCTGCAAACTCAAAAGATTGAGAATTAAAAATGTATATATTTACTATCTCTTCCATATCATATTTAGTTCAAATTATCATCACTTCTGTCCTTATTAAAATGAATCTTCAATAAACAGAAGTGCATTTAACCAATTGTATATACAACTTTGGGAAAATAATCTGCCAATTCACATATAACTTTAAATGACACACTACAAAGACAAGATGACACAAATTAAAGTGATAGTTTAAAACTAATCTGTATTTTCTTAATTTAAGATTCCAGGAGTCATTTCTTAGATCACCTTCCAACAGAAATTTCCTTGAGATTCTTCCCTTTGCCCTGCATCATCAACAGTATGGCACAATAATTAGAGTGATACACAGGAAAAAATATTCGCAGATCAAAAAGTATTTAAGACACCACAGCATGACTATTTTTAAAAACTCGAGTCTCTTGCTTCTTTCCCCTCATCCACATTCATTTTTGGCCATAGTATATTATATTTATTAATAATCTGCAATGTATGTATTTGAAAGTTTATTGGATAGCAAAAGAAATTTGTGGGGAAAAAAATTAACACAGAAATATCTGGAATATTATTCCAAGACTCAATATACATAACTGCTTTAAAGAAAACTACAGCATACCTGCAATGGTGTGCACGTTCAGGTTTGATACTACAGCACTTTGGACATTTGTAGATCACTTCTCCTGGTTTCAGTTGCAAATTATCCATATATTCTTTAGTGGCATTTCCTTTGGGTACAGCCCCCTGAAATCATTTCAATTAGAGAAAGCTTCTTAAATGGAATGAGAGCATTTAAAAATACATTTTATAGACTTTATACCAGTAATCTCACGATAATTGCTGAAATAAGTTCATTTACTCAAAGCTAGTTTGCAATAAGCCAGAATCATTTCCAAATGAATAAACTACCTCTGCTTGACCTCAAATT